TATATAAATAGATATTCAATATATATCGATGAATAACAATAAATTACAATACATAACGATAAATAGATATAATAGATATTCAGAATTCATAATAAAATGAAAATGTTATTGATCACATAGATACTATAGATACTATAGATACTATAGATACTATAGATACTATAGATACTATAGATACTATAGATACTATAGATACAGAGGTACAGAAATAAACTTTATTGGAATACACGTGTCAAACAACAAAGTTATATGCAGAATCATTGGTTAGAGACCTTTTTTAATATTCGGAATGACTTGCATTTGTTTACCGAAATCTCGGTGACTCTATTATAAACTAAAATTTACCAAATTTACCGCCTAGGTTCAAGATAAAATCTCGGCGTAATTTATTTCCGAGCTTCTTATCATGTCTAAAAAGTAATTACATCCACATCAGACATATCAGATACTGTATTGATATCATATGCAGTATGTACACATAACATTAACATTGAGTAAAAGAAAATAAGAATCTATGGTCGCGATGGATTTTCCAGAACAATGTCACACGATCATTTCCTCTCTTCCATCTAACAATTTGTTCGCCATATTTATTCCGTGTTACATTCTGTCGTAACAGACTGACAGACTGTAGAACGAGAATAATTTCCAACTCACGTGATTTATCGGACGATTGAGTGGTGAAACGGTGAGATGCTGAGATGCTGAGTTGCTGAGATGCTGAGATGCTGCAGAGAAAACGTAAGTAGTCACATGCCCTATTCAGAAATTTATTATTTTACAAGCATTGCGTCCATATTGTTCCGTTTGACTCGCATGCTGTAGATATCTTGCAGCAATGACACTAAGAAAAATAATTTAAATTATTTATTATATTATTTTGTTCCTGTTAATATGTTAATATTATTGGCTATTGAATCATTAGAATAATTAGAATAATTAGTGAATGCTTTTTTGATTTATTTGATTTATTTTGATTTGATGATTGAATCACAATTTGACTTTTTGATGCAGCTGCAATAATGTATTAATTTAGACAAGATTTGTGTTAATCTTTATTAGTCTAAGTATCGCAAGACTGCTGGTTTTTTTCCGTTCAAAATTTCACTTGACTCTTCATTAATGTACGTAAGTAAGTATCCTTATATTCTCTCTTATGTCTTCTAGGTAAACAACTTGAGAAACCTTTCTAGATCCTAAAATAGGAATCTTGCACCCAGGGGCTGTTAGTTTATCAAGTTGTACCAGAACGGTCACAATGTTTTTTTAAAAAAAAAAAAATTAAAAAATAAAAAAAAAAATATATATTTTTTTTTAAATATATACACTAAAAAATTTTTTTTCTTTCTCTCTTCTTTTCTATCTCTCCAATTTCGTTTCTTCGGTAGACTCCAGAAATGGAATCACAAAACTTCGAATTTGGCCAGATGCCATCGGCACCAATGGTCCCTGTTACAAATTCTCCCACGACGAATACCAGTATAGGTGGTCTAAACCTTACTACAGCTCAACAAAATCAAGCTCAAGTATTGATGCTGGAAAATACTCAGAATCAGATGGTAGTTTTAAATGCTACTCCAACTTCTCATTCACGACCTCCTCAATTATCAACAAGTCTGGCTACTACTGCCTCTGGAACTATTGCTACTTTAAATTCCATAAACGACTCTTCTCAAGATATAACAATGTTGGTTAACCAAGAACAATTACCTGTTTTAGTTATGAATGCTGCTCCTGCCACTTCAATGGAAGCTACAAACTCTCCTCAAATAACAATAAGTAGTGTTTCTACCACCGTTTCACTGGACCCTTCTCTGATCCACGACCCTTCAAAAATGATGGTAGCCTCTCAACAAGATCAACAACAAACTCAGTTAACTCTTACTGATGTTTCTCCTCAAGTAGTTTTAGCTGCTCCACAAGAACAACAACCTACTGTAGTAAATGTTAATACTGCTATATACAATCAA